AAAGGGAAGGGAAGAGAACAGAAGGAAAGAGAAAGAAATAGGCGGGAAGAGAAGACATAAGAGAAGAAAAGGGAAAGGAAGAGAAGACAAGAGACGGGAAAAGGATAAAAGAGAAGAGAAGGGGAGAGAAAAGAGAAGGGAAAGAGAAGAGAAGGGGGAGAGAAGAGAAAGGGGAGAGAAGAGAAGGGCAGAGAAAGAATGAGAAGGGCGGAGAGGAGAATATAAGGAAGGAAAGAAATGAAAAGAGAAGTGAAGGGCAAGAAGAGAAGGGAGAGAAGGGAAGGGAAAAGAAGGGAAGAGAGAAGAATAACCGCAAAGAAAAGAGGAAGGAAGGAGAGGGAAGGGAAGGGAAGAGTCGAGAAGAACAAAGCGAAAATTCAGGGTTCTTGATCACCAACTTAGATCATTCGTGTCCTTGTTCGCTAGAGTTGTGAGTACTTGTGCTTTCTGACCACTGTAAACCACCTCCATGAGGCATAATATTTAGTTGCTTTCAGGATCAAATATTTAGATCACGGATGATAATTTTTTGCCCTTTGATATTAAAACTAAATAAGGAGCTAATTGCTTCGTTTATATAATGAACATTCCTTCTTTTTTACATTTGAAACTAATTATTTTATTATTTTCCGATTATTTATTCCATTTTCTCGATTGCATGCAATTATGTGAAATATAATGACTAAGTTTCAATTCTAATCTGTTCTTTAGTAATAGCGATTACATGTTCCCAATTATTTCTGAGTTTTAATTTTATTATTAATTGTATGTATTATTCTGCGGAATATCTGTGACACAGCTGTATAGTCAACTACGTATGCATATACATTTAAAGTTCTCCTGTTCGCTAAAAATTTATCATCTAATTCATACATTAAGATCTGTAGAAATTCTTAGTCCTGGTTAATTCCACAACACTGGCGAAACATTAACCATTAAAAACTTGTGAAAAAGTCATCGTTTTTCATCAATTGTTGGAAACGAAATTCAAATATTTTGTTAAAAATCAACATCACGCGTTCCTTACGAACGTCAATAACCTTGTTTGAATGAATATTTTATTCGAAATATTCAGCTGAAGAGCTCTTGAAAAGTATTTCGCGCTTGCCCGGCCTGCTGAAACCGCAGCTCAGCCACAGCCTCCTCCATCTGGCTCTCTCCAGAGCCCCCTGGAGATTCCTCGCCCAACCGGTCTTGCAGGCGGAGCGATCGGTCGTCTCCGCCGCTCTTCGTTCGTCTTCGGGTCCCTGGCGGCGATCTGAACTTCGGACGATATTTTTTAACTCCACAACTTCACTCCCCGCTCGGCGCCAAGAGGCCATTTTTAGGAGTGGAATGAAAGGAAAAGCTGCCTCACCGGGCTGGTCTGGTGAGTTGGGGGCGGGGAAAGAAAGAGGCGGGTCTGCAGTGGGCCTGATGTATAGAATGCATGGTGTAATGGTTAATTACTCGCTCATTACACTAAACAACAAACAGCAAATATCACACGCGGTTGAAGTTTGTAAAGCGAGGCGATATCCAAGATTTATAACTAACCAAGTCTGTTAATTGTGTTATCGGGCGTGTGTCGTTCAATACTTTGCGAAATATTACCGTTCTTTTTTTACGAGAATGATTCATTTCAACAAGACATATTTCATCTCCCATTCTTATCAACAACTCATTTGTTTCCCTTGTTCTTAACGGACGGCAGACTGTAAAGCACTTAACGGACTGCGACCGTTAAGTGTAGCTTTCCGAGCCACTGTTTCGTTGGGTTAAGTCGATATCACAGAACAGTACTACAAAAACTACGTTCGGAAAAATAAGATCGAAATGTTATTCTTATTAATACACAATATGCACTGTGAACGGTCAAATCTGCAATATTTGTTTTTTTAAACACTTTTAACTACACGGACTTCTGAAATTCAGGATACAAATAACAAATTATATTCGATGATTATGTAGTTTTGGGAACTGTTGCTAAGCAAAAGTTTTTACACAAATTATATTTATTCAAATTTAAAAAAAAATACATTTTAAATCAAGTTGGATATGTGTAACTTGGTTGGAGGCGAGGAAAGCAGGGGCAGTTGTGCAATGTGCCGGGTGTTACGGAAGTCTGGGGTAAATCAAGTCATTTATTGTAACGTCAACACATCGTTTCGTAGATTTGTTCATCTACTTCTACAGGTGAAAACTTATCCCTTTATTCAAAGACTTCCTGACGAAAAGGGGATAATTTGCTGCGGAAAGAACATTAAAAGTGGTCAGTTGGTCAAGACCTCCAAGAGGAATGGTTACATTTCCGGAAACTGTTCAAGTTGTAACTATACTTATCCTTCTTGATTGTCAATATTGTTTATGACGATTCAGGTTTTCAATGTATTTATGGAATAATAAAATAATAACTGTTTCTTAACACTTCATTTATTATAATATTAAAACAGCGTTTCATTGAATATAGCATATATTTCTTCAATCGAATACGAAATGGTTGCTAAGGAGAGAAATTCGAAATTTCTGGATGAAAAAACACAGTCATACATTGTTGTCATTTCGGAAACTGTAATTTGTTTTACATTTTGATCGGTAGTTTTCAGTGATTATTCCGATCAACACCAGGCGACAGCCGGAGCAGTACCCTAACAAACGGGTGACGGACCGCGCGCGATCTTTCCTTCCTCTTCTTGTCCTATATTTTCCCTTACTTACACACATACTTACATGTACTATACTACCCCACATGCCGGGAGACTGGCCAAGAGATTAGAGCATGTCCCGACAGGGGTGGTGCTCCGCTGGTAGCAGATACCTGGTAGGGGAAAACATCGCTAGCCAACGGTAGGTCGGCGCCGGATCGCGCCATCCAGGGGACTTCCCGAGGAAAACATGCACAACACTTACGGGACTACTGACCCTAGTAGATGACGCTCCCGGAATCACTAACAACCAATCAATCATCGCCTACTCCTAGAACAACGGCACATGCACCAAGTTGGGGCCAGAGAAAACCGTGAGGAATGTTAAGCGGATTTTAGAGCTTGATGATTTGACATCTAGCTCAAAAATATATAACATAAAATGATTTTTCATCTTCGTGATTATTCGTTACTAGGCAAGAAGTATATTTCTTGAATCTTTGAGGCTGGAACCTGCAGTATGCAGTTCCTAAAAATAAAAATAAAGTTTTATCAAGCCAATGTTTCTGTTTTTACCAAGTCCAATCATACCCTTCCTGTTGTTTTTTTTTTTTTTTGTTTTTTTGTTTTTTTTTAATGAAACAATGCAGTTCCTGTAATTCACAAAGGAATGGGTTTTCAGTGTCATCTTTATGTAGCGACCACAAACAACTGCGTCAATGACTGCAGCTTCGACAAAGCGAATATGGTTTAGTGAGCAAACGTTTCTTCTAACCACACAAGTGATAAGCGTGCCTGACGCGAGTGTTACGCAGAATGTGTAATGACTCGTTGAATTTTGAGCCGACAATAAAACCACATGCTATTTGTCACAAGCGGATACTAAAATCTCTCCTGCTTACTTTTTATAACATTGTTCACATGACGAAATTATAAACTGCTTAAAATGATTAAATGTTTAAAATGTTTAGAAGGTTTAATAACGACATGTGTCTTATACATGCTAAGTCCTATTTATTATTCTTTCAATTTGTTTTTTGTTTTAAATTCTGTTACTTTAATTCGCGACAACGTTCTCTTATAGCCAGAAACTGGCGTTGATGGTGTAATCCTCCTTTAATCGTCATTGCCCTTCATCCCTTCAGGGTTCGTCGCCGTTAGGTCCCGGCATTCCCAGATGGGCACCCTACCAGGAATACGCTATCTCTCAAACTGCTTAACCTACGTATCTTCACGGAGCGTAGTTTAGCATATTAAGATTATATCTTCCCTGATAATCCAGATTTTTTGTCAAATCTGACTTACGGAGGGAAACCAGGCGTAAGAATCTTATGCGCCATGTCAGTATCCTCATATGTCTACTAATAATCACTATATAATACACTTAATTTCAGTGGCAGAGTATGACTTTCTTCACAAGGACCCTTCGTCAAGCCGTGGATCACGTGGGTGTCATGATCCATGAGTCCGAAGATAATTCAGGATTTACATTGTTTTAGTGATTCTGGGCACGTCAACTAAGAGAGTCGTTAGTCCCGTAAGTGTAGTGCACGTCTTTGCTCGTGCGGTGGCTGTGATCTTTCCATCGCTGTGTGATGAGATCCGGCTTGCGGGATTTCCCCAACCGGGTATCTCCCACCTGCGGGGCACCGCCCTCAACCGGGATAAGCTCAAAGCTCCCGACAGGGCTTCCAGCATGTGGTAGTGTATGTTAGTGTAAGTTCGATGACGATAGAACAAGGAAGAGGAATGAGATCGCGCACGGTCCGTGGCCCGTTTCTTAGGTTACTTCTCCGGCATTGCTTGGTGTTGATCAGAGAAATCACAAAAAACCACCGATCGGAGCAGCCGACAGACAGTAATTCTCTCCCAGACAGTGAGTGAATTCGACCTAGCTGACGAGCTAGTGTCGCATACCCTGCCATCGTCGAGACTGGAACGTGGGACCTCCCGGTCAGGGGGACTGCACTGCTCAACGTCTCTTTGGGCTTCTTTCCGCCCCCACGTGGTCTCGAGTATGCACATGAGGCACCTTCCACCTCTCGTGTCCGCCAAAGGCTCGTCATCCACGTTGGATTGGATTCCAAATCACATATTGTCCGGTTTTAATAGAGTGACTTCTAACAGATCTGCTGATATGCAGTAACACAATCGGGAACTTCAGGACAAAAAATTTAAGTCGATACGAAGCTCCCGATTGGATGATAGAATACCAGCATCCAGCTTGCGACCGTGAGGAGTCACTATATTTAAATCCGACAATACTTCTCTATTGCTTTCTGTTGATTTTTGTTTCATTTCTGACTTTCGGATTGTGTATATTTTTTGCTTACAAAAGCTCATATTCATTTTCACCAAGTTTCGTTTACAGTTCAATCATATCTTGTACGTATAAAAATTAACATAATTTTGCCAAAGGTCGAGGCAACTGGCTTGGAAATATGGAAAATCCTTAATGCATTGCAAATGTAACAGCCTCTCACATTGCACATATTCCTGTACAATCGTAATAATTTTTAAATTCTGGATCCACAATCGAACGGTAACTCCTTTAATGGCAACTTCTATACTAATATAATTTCGAAATAATAAAAAATAACAAATATGATCACAATGTTTAGATGTTTTACAAATATGTGTTTTTGGAAAAGTAGAAATATTCAGGGTTTTACATTTAGCGTTTCTACGTGACTACTTGATCAAATTATAAAGCATTGTAACGCAGACTTTAATATTAAAAGAACATTTTCGATTAAACGCTATTACGGAGAAAGTTAATAAAAAAACAGGAGAAAAACAAACATTCTTAATTGTTTGGAGGGGTACAACTGCTGAAGTTTCACTTGAAAACCGGGGGCAGTCAGATGACTCATAAAAAGACCTACTTGAGTAATTAAAAAAATCCAGAACTCCGTCAATTTTTGAGACAGACCATCTTTTGGATCTAATTTCGCTTCCTCAGAAGGCTTTACTGCATCGGTTAATTGATTGTTTCCTGGTGCCCTGGTTCTAAATGACTACAGAAGGCTACACTTCGGATTAGTTTCCCTCATCCATATATCTTCCCAGTAGGACACCGACCCGTCGGGACCCGCCCGACAAGCTCTAGGCACCTGACTGATTTCTCGACATGTGTGATAGTGAAATGCACATAAGTTGTGTAACAGGAGACGAGAGTACAATCATAAGAACTGGGAGATCGCCATGGTCCATGGCCCGTTTGTTAAGGAACTGACAATTATCGGTTAGACTCACGGAAAATTATCATTTAGAGTAGCCGATCGCTAAAATGCCCCTCCAGACAGTGGTTGCATTCTAGTGTAGATGTAAATATTAAACAAGTTCGCCGCCGTCGGGAATCGAACCCATGGATCTTACTAAATTCCGTTTTGGGGACGCTGTCCTTCGATGCAAAAAACAGATTTCGTTAAACTTGTAAAATATGAAAGACATGCCATCTATATGAATACTCTACCCTACCGGCATAGGTGGCTCACAGCATCGACTGGTGTCGCTGCAGTATCTCTCATCGGAAGGTTCGGAAAGAAGACGCCAAATCTTCGATCGGAAAGAAGACTTCGAAAAAAATATTTCATTTTTGGAAATATTTTTTTCGTAATATTCGAAAAATCTGGGATTTCAACGCAAATGAGACCTGCACTTTTCTCTCAAATTTTCTTCACAACATTCAACAACAAATAAAACATCGAATTCAAATTCAAGGGACCGAGACATCAGGCAGATCTATTAGGAAATATCAATTTTGGTTAATGTACTGCGTACGGTTTAGCCACTAGCGTTGTTTACAGACAGGGAAGGACGGACAGGACGTTTTGCCGTCAATCGATTTTTCGGCATCGAGGAGACACAAAACATGGATTTTGACTCTACGTGGTAGAGGAAGAAATTTACTATATAAAGGAAGAGAATTTATCCACTTTTATTGTTTCGAGGACCCTGCAATAAGAGTTTTTTTTGTCGAAAATTCGCCTTTTTTCTCTGCATTATTACAATATTTTCTCTGTAAGCGGTAGGGAGGAAGTAAAGGTAATTTTTTCCTGACAGTAATTCCAAAGTTATAGTACTGAGCCACAGTGTCTGCAAATTTCTTTACAATCTTTACTGCCACTACTGCCATATGTTCATTAGCACTGAAAATAAAGCGATGTTGTGAAACACTTGTCCTGTATTTAACTGTTTGTTTCTAATGGAAACATACACAACCACTGGCATTTCGTGATCGTATTAATAACACTTGCATGTCTTATCTCTGCACAGTTCATTAACCCCTTGGCTCAATACGTTTGTTAGATAAATATAGTAACAAGTACTAATCATATCTATATTTTTCACCGGCTGAATCGTTCGAAGCAACAGCTGTCACTGCGTCTGTGCAGGGAGGAACTAGGGTTCGCGTCTCGATGAGTGAAGATTTTCGACACTTAAAACAAGTGTTCATTATTGCGATCAATAGTACTATAAATCTGGAGATCTATTTCAAAAAGATGGCGACATACGACAATATCCCTTCGTAGGTATCTCCGAACCAGCCGAGACAAAACTTAACCCTTCGACTGCCACGTATGTTAATCTCAAAATTACACTGCCAGTCCACGCCCTCTTTTCCCTTGAGTATCAGAATGACACACATACCTCGCCGGGCGGGAAAAATCCTTATCAATTTGATACACATGGCAGTCTGAGGTGTCTCCTAACCAGTTTTGTAGTGTGGAGCATGTTTGCGTGTAAGGAAAGAGACAATGAGGATGAAAAGATTGTGAGCTGTCCGGGGCCCATTTGTTAAAGTACTGTTCCGGCATTCGCTTAGTGTCGACTGCCGGAGCAGTACTTTACGGAGGAACCACGAAAAATTCCAATCAGAGCAGCCGGCCGTTGGAGTTCCGCTCTCAGACAGCGGTTGAATTCGCCCTCGCAAAGACGCTTTCATTTTATTTACCTATCCTCTTATAATTTGGGTTGAGAAAATATGATTAAAAATTAAATCAACATATACAACCGATTTTCGAACAAAAATGTAAGTGTAATAAATGTAACGAACTAATTTTTTCTCATAAAATTGAACAAACTGCACGCACAAAGTTGCTTATGCATCTCCACTAGATAAAAGCAATATTGTCCCTATATTTCAATAATTTGGCTGCCTTTGAAGAATTTAAGTGAATTCTGTATTTGAAAGAATAAGAAAATTTCACTTACCTCAAAAACCAAATATTGACTTTCATGAATAGTAGAATTCAGACCACATGTCCACAATCTGGTAACATTTCTGCCAATTATATTGCCCATTAGTCACATATAATAAATCACAAAAATCACCATTTCAATTCTTCTGATTTAATTTAAGATTCAAATCCCTGAGAGTTAAGGATTTTGTTTCTGTAGCAATTTGTACCTTAAGATAGGGGAATCAAGAATAAAACCTGGTAGCATTTAAATTTTTTATTTTTTAATTACACACTTGTTTAGACTATTTTGACAAATTCAAACACGATCAAAATTAGAAGTTCATGTGTAGACTGATGAAAAAGAACTTTCAATAATTTGCTAATGAGGAATTCTATTGAAGAATTTTATTGTGCTCTCATTTCATCAATTTTACTGTATTAGTTACTTGTAAAACGAAATTTTCAAAATATTTCTAATATAACTTCTTCCTAACTTGGACTGTGGATAAGGAAAGGAATGGAAATGACATGGTTTTTAAATAAACAACTCGAGATTATTTTTCTGAAAATGATAGAAAATTATATTATCCTTCTTATATGTTTGCAGCATGTTCTATTAAAACACATTAATTGCAAAGGAATACAAGCATTTCAGTTCAGATGGGTACAAAATACATAATTAAACACATCACTACATTGAACAAAATACAACATATAGAAGTGTAATAATAATGAAAAGAAAACGTGTATATAATGCACAGTATTATAATTGGAAGGTGTGGAAGAACGCTTGAATAGCAATCGCAAGACTTGTGTTCACTACTTTCTCACAGTACCCAGCTGACTTAACTCTTTCACATGGCCCTCAGCATTGCTTGGACTTCGCAGTCCCCATACATAACCCACTCACATTTGCAAAATAAGAGGATTGAATATAATTTTTTTGTTTGATTTCTTTTTGGATGACTTAAAATGCATGTGTACTATTGATATTTTTAAATATTAAAGAACACAGTTTCTTTGATAAAAAAGCATTTGCATATAAAACTGAGTTTTTATTATACTCTTTTAATATAAACTTGATAAATACATTTTGACATAAATAATAAGTTACATAAATACAACAAAATAGTAATAAAATAGTTTGTAGAGGAATTTCTCCCCTTCCCATTTAAAAAATAAAAACAAAAACATGCTGAAATGGCTGAAGTTGAGCATTGAAGTATGCGCAGACGAAATGGTATGAATTAAATTAGTTTAAAAATAAATTATTATGCTAATTAAGTTATAGAAATGAGTGGATTGAAAATGAACAAGGAGGATGCAAACACCTAATTTGCAACACACAAAGCAATGCTCAAAATAGGAGGGAAACAAAACAAAACAAAAAAAAAGTGTAGAAAGAAATGTACACGAGAAAAAGTGTAAAAGAGGTTTAAATACAGAGAAAAGTGTTCGCTTTTTTTCACATCAGACTTCAAATTCCATTCAGACGACCGTAATGCCCGATCCTACATTCAAAAGAGATCAAAATGTATCCTTTCATCAAATGCCTGGACCCACATACTCTTTTGATTCTTGGCAACAATGTCACCAGAAACACACTTCACACACCAACTAAAATAATTAGATAATAAATTATTTAATATTCCATATTGATATTGATATTGCTTAGCCAAAACATATGGAAAAATATATATTACTTATGCACATAATTATAATTTACACACAAATAAAATTATAAAAAGTTGAGTTCAAGTAGTTCTTGGACTTCAGAAGAGAATATGGAATGAAACAATAAATAGTGGATGTAAACATAAACCTGATAATGACTACTGAAGCACTTGCAGTGACAGGAAATATTCCTAATCAGCTGATACAGAAACTTCAGTCAAATATTACAATTTGGGTCCCTTTCTTGTAAAGCTAATATAGTCTTGTGTGTCCATGTAGTTCACCTGCAAACTTATGTCGCAGGTACCTCTTCCACTGAATCAATTGATCCTTCATCAAGACACAAAAATAACATATCAAAGGCGTCAATCACAAATATACAATATTCATTATTAATAATCACATTATATAATATATTCACTGCAAAGAATTGACTACTGATGTGGAACAGATGGCCACAAAGAGGTGTAAGTTCTTTGAGAAAATATAACAGGCTATACAATTACACTCCAATCTGCAATGCCTTGAAGCAAAAGTCAATTCATTATAATATCCATCCCTACATTTCTCTAATAACAGTTTTCTTACACCTCTTTGCTCTTTCCTCCCGCTCAAAATATAAACTGGTGGAAAATCAATAAATCCATACATTAAACGCAAAGCAGATTTCTTAAATGTGTAACATGCATATTAATATAACTGGGGGGCAGTTATTTGAGAATAACATGTCAAAGAAAATAATTATCAGGACATATTTTGGCGTTTTTCCTCTTGGTATGCTATCATAAGACACTTCACACAGTGCACCATTCAAGTCACTTAGTTAACTCCACAGTCTATAATAAGAATTGGAATTCTTATTCTCTGGAATGCCAAATTTTCCTCTCAATCACTGGTCATATATTTTGCAAGATACAAAATCGTATAGGGAAATATAAAACTACTAATACCACTAAGTTTCCGTGACCTGTTCTAAGGGAACATTGCCAATGCCCTAATATGTAAAAAGATACGTAACAGTACCATCAGTTCAAGGGGATTACCCCATCCCCATATGGAAAAAATCACTGCCAATAGAACAGTAAATGGAAACACTAAAAATAAATATGAAATTGACAGCCTCCCTTCAGAAAAGCTTGTATCACAAAGGACCCACCATTTCTAAACGGTGTTAAGTTTCAAAACCTTATACAATTATAAAATCCAAGAGTTAATACAGAAACAGGAGGAGTAAATACTCATCCAATTGAAAATCAAGTTCAGTGCCCTAGTTGGAAGACATTTCCCTATCATCTAAACTGTAGAAGAAAAAATATATAAATAAAAAAAGAAATGACCGCAATTTCAAACAAATCCCTTGCTGAGTAACTATTTCTCACTGGACTAGCAGATATATGCATTTTTACTTCCACAACGGAAGTGCGTCACTCCAAAAACAAATAATTAAAAAAAAATCTTACAATAAACTTTTTACGACCGAATCGTCAGTAATATATTCCATATAAATATAACATCTCAAGGCAAAGTTCCCCTTATTAGAACAGCCACAGAAAAAAAAATTCATCGATATTATTAAAAAGATGACATACAATATTATTATAATAATATATTTATATATATACAAAGGTTCAAAATAACAATATTCTCTTCCACGAATATATATTTTTTCATAAATAAACATAAAATAACACTCAGCGGCGGCAGCAGTAGTTTCAAGCCCAGCAGCTCCTCCAAGCCGACTGCAGCCCCAACGTCACGGAGCTGCTTCAGCCTGTTGAAGACGGCAGGCGCGGCGAGTCTCGGCCGGCGTTGGCGCCGCCCCGGCGCACGGTGGAGCGGCGGCGCTGCCACGGGCGAAGCGTGGCGGGCGCGCCACGGCGCCGGCAGGCGGGGCGGCGAAGCCGCGGGGGCGACATGGAGCCCACGCTGCACGTGGGCACGAAGCGCGGCGAGCGAGCAGCTGCCCTTGCCCAGCTGCACCAGCGCGGTTGAAGTCCATGGCCGAAGGCGAACGCGGTTCCCCAGGCGGGCCGGTGGTGCGCCCGGACTGCGGCGGCGGGCGACAGAGCTGGCGAACCACGTTCGCTCTCGGTGAAGAAGGACGCACGCTTGTTATGGGCGACTTGGGCTCAGGCTGGAGGTGGGGCGACTCGAGCTGTGGATCGGCAACCGCCGCCGCCCGCGGGCCGCCGCCGCCGCGCCGCCGCCGCTTGCCGACCGCGTGCACGCCGCCGCGGCCGCCGCCGCCGCCGCCACAGCTCCAGCGGCTTGGGGCTCTGTTGCGCGCGCCTCGTCCGCGTTGTGGATGAATGGCAGGCGGCCCTACGGCAGAGCCGATGCTGTGGAAGGTGCGGCACAGCTCCGTCTTGTACTTGGGTGGCGCCACCAGGCTGCGCAGCTCGCTGGTGCCGTGCGCGAACTGGGCACTTGTCGCGCGTATTGCAGCGTGCCTCTCCTCGAACGGCCGCAGAGCTCCGTCTTGTAGGCGCTCGCCTGTTGAATGTTGGCCGCCTTCTCACCTGCGCCGCCGCCCGCGGCCGCCGCCGCCGCGCTCGACCACGCCGGCTCGCTCTGCGACCGGGTTTTCCAGCTTGCGGTTGCCGCCCGCGCCCCGGTCGGCGCCTGCGGGGGCTGCCTGGGGCTGCTGCTGCTTGCCTGCTGCTGGTCGCGCATGTGGTCCGGAGCCAGCAGGCTGCTCGATGGGACGTGACGTGGAGCCGTTGACGGCGCTATGCTGGTGCGGCGGCGGGCCCGGGGCCGGCTGCTGCCGCTGCCAGGGGCTTGCGCGCGCCCGCCGCCACCGCCCCGCCTGCCCGCCCGCCGCCGCCCGCCGCCGCCGCAGAGTCGTTCCACCGCAGCACCTTCTGCTGCAGCGCCGCCGCAGAGTTGAGGTTGGTGGCCGCCGCCACGCCCATCGCGCCCGGCGAAGAGGGCGAGCCGCGCTGCGAGTGCTGGCCCCCGCCCCCGCTAGAGCTGTGGTGGTGCTGGTGGTTGTTGTTGTTCGTGTGGTTGTTGTTGGTCACGTTGTTATTGTTGTTGTTGGCGTTGTTGCTATTGCTGTTCTTGTTGTTGGGGCCTTCTGGGTGACCCTGCAACAAAGGAAAACGAAACGGGCTCATTAGATGCGATCATTTTTTTAAAAAATTATTTATTTTTTATTCACCTCGTTATCACGTGCGATACAAGCACTAATGGAAATGTTCAGATGAAATCTCATGCTTACGCCTTCAATGAAACATAACTATAATATAATGCGTCCAGAGAAACAGAAACATTAGATCAAATACCCGGGAATGAAAATAGTTTGCGACAAGTATCATGCCGTTTACCAATTTTAATCACGTAGGCATACACACATTAATAATTTTAAAAAAAGTTTTACTTCAGTCGTCATTCAGTGCCGCATTTTCCCTTCTTTTTTTTCAAAACGCCAAATTTGATATTACAGCATTGCAATGAGTAGCTGCGGAAATTCCAGACTACCATAACAAAGTGGCGACAAATCTTTGAATTCCAACGACCTTCCTGTAAAACCGATTTTTCAGTTTCGATTAAGTACTTAGAATTAAGCAAGCAACTACACAGCAAAGACTCATTCCATGTCAAATTAAAGAAAAAACGAAACTAAGCAAGCGCCGACCCATGACGTTTCCCAACTCCGCAAAGGACAAGGACAAACTCCAGTGGCCGTAAGCAGAAATACCGCGCGACGGGGGCGGGGGAAAACCACAGACCAAACACAACACAGAGCGACCTTCGTGTCTTCCACGCGCGAGCAACCGGAGCAGTAAATACATTCCGCGAAGGAACTCCGTGCCCTGTGAATCGAGCCGTCCCATTAATACAAAGAAAAACTGTAGTAATAAGAATAATGAAAGGCAGAAGGGTGGGTGAGAGGGAGGGGGTTGCCGTTTTGAAACAGGTCCACGCCTGACGTCGAGCCGCGACGTGCTTGCCCAGTCCATCCCATCCCACTCCAAGCATTCCTACTACCTGTTGCTGCGCCTGCTCGGGAGGGTAGTCCCACCACACCCCTCTCACGCACGCCCTCGCCCTGCTCAGCACGAGAGCGCCAGGGGACCCGCCACGGTCGCAACTTGGCCCACTTACAAGACAGAGAGACCGAAAAATAGAGAAAAGGGACGGCGAAAGAAACAGAGGGGGGGGAGAAAGAAAGAGAGACTAGCAATGAGGGAATGATGGATGACAAACTGAAAAGAGAAGATAAAATATATATAAAAAATCCAAATACGGTATCCACTTTAAACAAAACTCTAAAATCCTAGAATTAATCCCCCCCCGTTTTTTAATGTCACGACTGTCTACGTAATCCTACCGCACTCAAGTAATGTCTCTCCACAAGACAGGTTTTGGTAGTAACAGAATTTGGGGTAGGGGTGTAAGGATGCATGAAATTAACACATACCTAAGAATCGAGGAAAATGTGAAAAAGCTTAAGGAAAAGTAGGAACGAAGAAGATTGTTCCCGTAAGTTACGAAAGAAAAGGAAATAAAGATTACGATTACTGAATTTAACGAAAACGATAGTAAACAAAAGAGATGGACAAGGAAGACTGAAAAAGGAAAGAAAGAAAGAAAGAAAGAAAGAAAGAAAGAAAGAAAGAAAGAAAGAAAAATATATGAGGAAATATGTCGAACAGGATCGGAAATGAGAACGGAGAGATAGCAAAACCACGGCCCGCAAGCGAGATGGATCCGGGAAAGTAGAGAAAAAACATCAGAAAAGAGAAACGGAATAATAACAAAAATGATAAATGCACAATACGAGTGGAAAAGAGAAAGCGAGGGAGAAAGAGGGAGGGGGGGTCAAAAAAGAAAAGAATGGTACCCCGCCAGAGCGGCGGCGGTCAGCGGGCGCCGGGGAGCAGGTACGAGGGAGGCACGACCACCCAGCCCAAAATGGCCCAGGGGTCGGGGGCTGGGTCTCTTTAATGCGCTCGGTTAGACACGACCCAGGGCCATGTCATTTAGCCGGACAGGGGAGGAAGGGAACGGAGAGGAGTGTGGGAGGGTGGGAGGGGTTGTTTTTTTTTTGGGGGGGGGGAGGAAGGGGGATGACTCCGAGTGACGGAGGGTGAAGGGCCTGGCCGCCGAGTCAGGCAGTCAAAGCGATCGCCCTTTGTTCGCATACGCACGCCTCGCATGCGTGAGTACCCGCGACAAACGGCTTCGTTCCAACGGCTCCCCGCAGAGAATTGACGAATACGCCAAAGCCGTTTAGACACGACTTAAAAGCCCTTCGGTGATTCAAAAAACTGCACGTCTCATTATACTTTCTTTTGCAAACATTACGAACAATAATTATTTCATAGACTACACGGCCTTACTTGATACAAGCTAATCTAACGTCAATAAAGAAATTTCGCATTTCATCTCATCCCATGACATCAAGCTGGGAGTATGTATTGACGGGATGTTGGCATTGAAATAGTAACGGTAGACAACATAGGCTTCTCCAACAGTTTCATTATTCTTTAAAAAATAAAGAGCTTTCGATGGATTAGCTATGTCATCAGTCATCACATATCCAAGTCATGTGTAAAATGTCATGAGAGACCCTGCCGTCCACCGAAAGCTGTTCATTATTCAAAACCGATTAAAATTCTAGTGAAGATTTAATCGCTTTCCATTTCCACACAATAAGAAGCCAGACCGACTGAAGGCGGGAAACCAGAAACAAATCTACGAGTCAAATTTTCTCACCAACACTGAACTCTCTCGACGGCAAACAGTACACCAACTTTTTCCAGACGGCGATTCAATAACCACGCGAATACACCAAACATACATACCACGAAAACATGCGGGCACGGATCATTCAGCAAGCAACACCAAATAACTTCAACGGGACACATTTTGTCAGATTCCGCTTCACACTGGAACGCGCATAGGTCGGAGGCGGGCCCACAAGCAACGAGCGAGCTGTCCCGCACACCAGAAGATCTCAAGGAAAACTGAAGAAACTTCCAAAGCGCTCCCGGACTTTTATAGAGCACCAGCGAGTGAGTGCATGTGTGAGTGTGTGTGTGTGTGTGTGGACTTTTACAGGACGTCCGCCTTTGTGGGGTAACCATCACAGGGCGCTTCTTGCTTTGGAAGTGCGTGTGTCGCAAGCGCGTCCTGCCTGCCGACAGATATCTGCGTGCGACGGTGACATCAGAACATGATTCGACCGCAGCCCGGAGCATCCATCCTGTCGGGCGGAGCACAAACAGGCGCGCACTGCGTCGGCGGCAGCCAGCACACACGGACCGACCACTGCAAAAATAGTTTACTCGGTACGCACGAGTGCATTCAAATGGACAAACCAGCCGAACGCCTTGGGAAGTAACACGTTCCAGAAACTTCATTGCACTCGCATGTCAGACAGATCGCGTATGAAATATTACGTCTTCTTTCGACATTGGGAAAAGCACCCGGAAATTAAACAACAATCTGAAAGAATACTTTCCAAACGTTCCGGAAAATTACGACAATCTTAATTTCATCGACTGTTTCCTCGTGGGAAACGAGATGCAATAAACGACCGAGTGATCGAAAGAAGAAAAAAATATCCGACTCATCTGCGTTAACACCATGAAAGACGAAAAAACGGTTACAGGTCCGAATCATGCAACGCAAGAAATTTTTAATTACGTGTGTGGATCATGCACGATTGCGTCAAAACGTCTCTTGATATCTTATTGTCACGTATTCATTTGTGTGAATTGAAATACTCAGCAGCCATAATCATCTTTATCTCTTCGCTTAAGATCGTTGAAGTGAATGTCAGGCTGGTCCTTGTTTGGAGTCCCAGCAGTAATGTCGGTACTAAATGCCCTCCCCCTTCATTTCGCCCTATTTTTCATCATTTTTTGGAAACAATTATATTTTAAAATATAATTGTTGTATCATTTCAATAATATGCAAATAACGGATGTAGAGGCAAAATGGATGGATCATCTCCGTAAATATACATTTGTTTATATTTATTGCCCCCCCCCCCAGACCTGCCTCATTCACGGGTACAAAGACGACCCTCCACGTCCTTTGTGGCATGAACGAAATGTCAATTGCCGACGTCACAGCATGTTCTTCCCGAAAGTGGCATCCTCCTTGGCCACATCCGCACCTGCCGAAATTCCCTTTTTTCCTCGCGATCCTTCCAAGTGGCTCGTGGATGGATTCTCGGAAGTGACCGGCCTTTTCGGGCAGGACGGGCGGGCAGGGGGGGGGGAGGCAAACCCAGACTGCCATACACACCCAACCGGACGACGCGACGGACCCCCCCCCCCTACCCTCTCCCACCAAAATGGTCGTTTTGAAACGGGCTGGAGGGTTTCCTTGTCCGCGGGCGAGGAAGTCGGGCAAAACACAGCAGGTTGCTTCGAAGATGGAGAATGACAGAACGGGGGGGAAAAAAACTTCCACACTATGGAAACCAAAATCGACGGCAATGCCTCACGCAAGTGTAGCTTCCTGTTTGTTAGCACAGACATCTGTTCAATCCTCATGAAACTACGATCTCTTCAAGAAGAATTTGAATCCAATCCTAAAATGTCATTCAGTCATTACTGATAAATGCTGTATGCACACAGCTGACATCAGAAATATAATGGTTGACAAAAGACTTGAACCATGCGATTTTTGATCTATGGAATTACAGAACTCACTTTACACGAATAAACTGAATTTTAAGTAATGTTTTTTCTTGATAATCAAATATATTAATTTCTTTTGTAATTATTAAACTATTTTCATGTTTCTATAAGGTTTATATGTATCTGAAATAAAACTTTTTGCATAGGCAGTATTTTTTCAAACCAGCTTGAGTAATTTTTTTTAACTTAGCCAATCGAATTATCGAAGAAACTTTTATTACAGAAAATATGCTTAAAACTGACTCAAAGAGATTCTTTTCTGATTCTCATCTTTCATTCCTGGACACCCTGTACTTCAATGACTGCTCACAAATGTTATTATTGCACCGTTAAATACGAAAACAGACCAGTGTGCCTTTACGAACTTCAACTGATTAGAAGCTTAGTCTTCGCCACTGTAGTTCGAACACTCGCCCTGGCCAGCGTCA